AGTGATTGGAAGTATGAAAGGGAAAGTACAAGAGCGGAATGAGGATTTAGTAACGGTGGAAAAGCATGTGACGAGAAAGTCTACGACGGAAGCGGAGGTCCAGGGCGCGTGTGTGTGTGTGTACATAGAGGCGAGCGATATAGGTTTAAGGTTAGGTTAGGAAATATATTGTAATGTAGTGGTAAGCGGAGAGAAGGAGCATGTAAGAGGTGTAAGATTGTAACCCTAAGGGGATCAATAAATTATCATTCCTTCAATAACATATTTCCTGCACAATATTCACATGGCTCATTAAACAATTTAGTCCAATGTAAAAATATAATATTTATTAAATCTTGAAGATTATAACTTTTCTCCTTCAAATGATTAATAGATATTGTAAAAATAATATTCTGACTTCTGGTACATTTTGTATTTTCACAAGTTTTGCAGCGGTTGATAGTATTCATTTTATACAAAAGTGAATCTTTTATATAATCATATCTGTCACAAAGAGCTGTGAGAAATTGAAATGCATCTCGTTTTATATTATCAGAAAAATATTCTCCTAAATATTGCCATATTGCATACGTACTCAATTGAGCCATTCCCTTTTCATACTGATACGCTAATTTACCTAAAACATTTGATTTATCCAAAATAAACAATTGTCTGATATCAGTTAAATGCAATAAACATTGCAATACTGAATTTGCATAACATAAAACTTTATCTGTATTTTGAAAACCTTTTATAACCCATGCAGTATTCTGTTTGGTTTCAAAATTTTTGACATGGTACTTGGGTACGGGAAACTATCTTTGGTAAAGTCCACAAGATATCTTTCACTTTATGATGTTTCTTCTTAGAAACAGTAATCAATGCTGTTTTTATGTACCTTTTTTAAGCGATTATACTCAATAATAGCCTCCTTATTAGCTTTAACTGACGAAGGATCATAGTTAATCAAATGCAGTCCTTCTATAGAGGTTATTCGAGATAATGCAACATATACCTGGCCACAATTAAATACAAAGTTACCTATATCCATGACAGCATTTTGCAAGCTCAGTCCTTGACTTTTATGAATAGTAATTCCATAACTCAATAAATATTAAAATACATTAGAGTACATATTTTAAAGTAAATATTATATTATAAAATAATTTTATTAAAAGTTTTCAGTAAAGAGTGTATTAATAATAAAACTATTCTTAGTAGCATAACAATAGTAATTATAATGAAAGGATCTTTTCCTCTGTTTTCCTGTACTTGGGTGTGTATGTGTGTGTGTGTGTGTGTGTGTGTACGCGTGTATGTCCTTAATTAATGTCATAGTATTAATAAATGTGAACACAATACGGAAAAAGTCACAAATATATCTAATAAACAATTTAATGTTACAATTAATTAATTAAAGCATCTGTCATATATATAAATCTCTCTAATCTAAATGTGCATTCTACAAACATAATTAATAAAACATACAAATAGAATTTTACATAAACATTATATGTGTAAAATTCTTTTTCACTTACGTTAACAGCTTCTTCAATAATACATACATACAATTAATAGTATGTAACAAGGTCATTGTTATTATTATATATATATATTATATGCATATAATTCATATTCTTTTATATTAAATTATTTTATTATATATATGTGTATATATATATATATATATATATATATATATATATATATATATATATA